ACTGTCCGGTTCAAAATTGGACACCTGGCAACTCTAGTGGTTGGTCAGGGTCTCCTCTGATGCTGCTATGACTGTCATAAGTAATTTCTATGTTTGCTTTTGAAGAGTTACAGTGGAACAGTGGAGAAAAGAAAATATCTATCTTAATTTTATTCCTACTCCAGTATTATCTTGACTAAGCTTAATTAGGTTGTGCAACCACATTTGAATGTGAGAAGGAATTTCTTATGACTGCATCAGCACAGGACTCATCAGAATCAAAATTTTGAATATTAATGTATTTAATTGTTCTGCAAGTAAAGCATGTCAACATAGCTATGCAGAGGAAGGAGTGAATAATGAGCTTCATGTGTGCTTTAAAGTAAAGTTACTCTGATTAGTGACTTGCTTCCCCTCCCCCCCCAGTATGAACTTCAATATTATAGAAGTGGTGATGCAGGGACTAATACGGGGGGTGGGCAATAATTTTTGACGGGGGGGGGGCGGGAGCACTCCAATATTTTGGAAAATGGTCAAGGGCTGCACTCTTCCATGATATTAATGTAGAAGGTGCGGGGTCTGGGACAGAGGCTGGGTGCAGAAGGGAGCTTGGGGAAAGGGATTGGGGTGCAGGGGAGAGAGAATGGGGTCTGAGACGGAGGTTGGGTGAAGGAGGCAGTTGTGACCTAGGACAGGGGACTGTGGTGCAGGAGTTTGCTTTGTGACCTAGGATAAGAGGGGATTGGAATCCAGGGCAAGGGATTGGGGTGCCAGATCTGGGAGGGGATATGGGTGCAGGTGGGGGGCAGAGAGGGTGAGTATGTTGAGTGGGGGGGTGGAGAGTTGGGGAAGGGAGGGGCTGGAGTGCCAGAGGCAGGCTCTGGCCAGGAGACTTACCGGCCAGCAGCCCAACCAGCCTGCCTTCCTGCAGAGCTAAAGCTAGTCAGTGGGATTGTGCTGGGGGTGGAGGCAGTGCCTTAAGCTTACCCTACTCCGTCTGGGATCACAGTTTTGAAAGAGAAATGGTCCTGCAGCCGCTTTTCTGAGTGGTGTGCGGGGAAGCAGGGAACCTGCCTGGAGCTCCCCGCTGTGTCCAGGAGCCAGATGTGGTGGCTTGGCAGGCCAGATTCGGCCCACGAGCTGCATTTCGCCCAGGCCTGGATTAATACTTCATTATGTTTCAAAGTTGGAGTTTGAGGCTTTGAGAAGTAGTGTTGGTACTAACTCTAACAAGTCTGAAGGTGTTAGTTGTTTGGTCTCAAAGCTGCTTGAGAACAAGGTGGGGGTTGAAGGGACGGGACTAGTGGGGGTAAAGGCAGTCTTGTTTTCTATTATGGTATTGCTTTGGTGTTAGTGTCTTGGTGTCAGACTATCTGATCAGGGCTTCTTTGTACTAAGTGTTATACCACACACAGTAAGACGTTTCCTGTCTTATCTGTACATGTTCCATCAGTCGGAATGCTTGTAACATTAATGACCGAAATTGAGATCTCAAAGTCAGTATTCACTGTTGATGATGCAAGAAATGATGCTAGAAAAATAGGATCCTCCAATAAGATATAGAAACATTCATAATGGTTTGTATTCTTAAGTTAGTACGGTTTAGTCCTCTTAGATTGATTTTTTTCGAGGGCTAGTAACTATTAAAAGATGTTGATTTATGACTAAATCTAGCCTTTACTATAATTTTGTGTCTTTTTGCTAAAGGAGGGTACTCTATATATCACTATTCAATTGTACAGGTTGCCTTACATAAAAATTAAGGACCTGTACCTTTTCAGTATAATGAATGGGATAAATATTGTCTATTTAATAGCGTACAAGTTGAACCTCTCTAGTCCATCTCTTTCTGGTTTGGCAACATCCATGGTCCGGCATGATTTTAGTTAGCTGGTTGTCCACTTATCGGGTGTGGTCAAGTTACTCACGGTCCCATAAAGTTTTACAGCCACCAGTCCTGGCTCTCCGTGTTCTGTGCTGTTATTTAGCTCTAATTTACCCCTACATGTCTTCTCACGGCCCTGTAAGCAGTGGAAGTGTTGGTAATGCTGCTAGACAATAGTGACCTCCCGTGGTCTGGCAAATTCTCTGGCGTGGCACCAGTCAGATCCCCAGAGTTCTGGACTAGAGAAGTTCAACCCATATTAATTTCGTACTTACTATTTCTGTCAAACTGTATTTGGATGGAAATTAAATTCAGTTAACTTGTTTAAAGGCTGTTTGTATATTTGATCATTTAACCTAGTAAATAACACAAAGTATTTGTAAATAGCAGATTTATTCGGCATTACCTGGGCCCTTCAGGGCAGGGTTTTGGGGATGTGGTGGGGGGATGCAAGAGACTGGGGGTCAGAGCCCTGTTCTCTCTCCCAGTAGCCCCTGTGCCCAGGCCACTTCCCCAGACTGCCCAGGGCCTGTTCTCTCCCCCGTCCTCTTATACGGCGAAGCTCCAGCCCTGCTGGCCACTCCTTTGGTGGGACGCCTGCCCCCAGTGGACACTGCGGGATAGCTCTCCCCTGTGGGCTTGCTGCCCCCAGTGACTATTCTCAGATCGTGTCCCTCTGGACAGTAGCCCCTCCCTTTGCATGTTATGGAAGACTGTCCTTTTCCCATGGCTTCTGGGTGTGTTGGTACCACCGAACCCTGACCTTGCTTTAATTTAGGAGAAGAGGAAGATGCTTACTGAATTTGGTGATTCTAGCTCTTGTAATTTAGGAGAACTTGAACAAATGGACTTGAAGATATATTCCCAGACACACACACTCTAAAATAAATAGATTAGTGAATTGGACTGACCCTGGACATGCACTTCAGGATTTTCGAATATTCATTCATAGATTGAAAGAGGAAACACCCTTTCCTGCTTTTTTCAACTTTGAACTGAACTAGCTGAATAAACTCAATGACAAAAATATTCACTGAGTATCTGCAGAAAAGGCTGCCATCAAAAACTGATGTAACACTTGACTTGATTTGCGGGTGGTTAGTGGTGTCAGCAAACATGTATAGCTTACTATTGAATTATTTTAAGAAATTATAGTAACCTCTAGGTTGTCTTAATTTCAAATTTTAATTTTAAACAATTTGTACTTAAGTAATTGATCTTTTAAAATGATTTTTATCCATCCTTCTAGCATTATGATAGTGCATGAGGAATTAAAAAATGAAAGCTGTAACTGGGCCTTCAGCCTACAATGCTGCTTTGGCAGAAGTCCAGGATTTAATAGCGAGCTCAGTACTTCAGAGATCAAATAGAGATGAAATGCAAAAAATAGACACTGTAGATAATGAAAAGAAAAATAATGCCTATTTGTACACAGCACAAACCAAATCCTGCAGCCTTTACTCAGGTAGAACTCCTGTTGATGTTGCAGCTGGGAGATTCTCTGGCTGAAGCCTGCAGGATTTGGTTCTACGCTTGTTAGATTTCAAAGTCTTTTCAGAAAATACCCTCTTAACAGGAATAATTCAGAGTGGGACCTGCATTTCTCTCCGTGCAGCACCTACCCGGGAGCGGGGGGCTCAATTCTGAAAAGTTGGAGACTAGTGATGGTCAAGGGTCGAGCTACATCGGGTCAGATATTTGGCAGATGATTTCTCTTGTAGCATAGACAGTTAAGAAAAGAGGAGCTGAAATTCCACTTCCGAAGTATAATGCAAATTGTGAGTAAGCATTAGAGTGATTTATGAGGTGAATTATATACTGAGAATTTTAAATTTGGCTTAAAATAATAAATGTAAGCCTTAATGAGCTGAATAATGAATGTTAACATTTCTAGTTAGCTATCCATCCTGTTTACCTCCTTCTGAATCTTTTGTGCTGTTTGAGTGCAGCCAGATTTTTTTTATCTAGTTGTTTTTGTTTTAGAAATGTATTCCCAAAGCATTCATTTGGGGCTAAAGGAAGATAATGGGAAGTGTGATAGAAATGTTAGTGCTCACAAAATTATTTCTGTATGGCTGTTACTGTTTTTCATATTCCATGGTACAATATGTTTTTAAGTAATTAGTTTCTGTTATGAAGCATGCTGAAATGTGTCAGATGTAACAATGCTGTCCTTTCCACTTAGCAGTTTCTTTTAGAGCAGGTGACATCAAAGAGAGAAGAACGAGGATGGATAGAGAGATAATATAATAATTTAAATTAGTGCCCTACATAAGATGCATGGGAAGAGATGCACTTTGTCAGACTTCCCAGTGGAGTGTGTTAGTTATTAAAGTTAGTCCTGAGCCTTCGGAAAGACTGGTGAAATATATCTATATCTATATATATCCTACAGATACGTGTTTAAAACAAGACATGCATTATACTTACATGCATTTCCAACTTAACCGCATATTCGACAAAGACACCTGTCAGTGGCACCAGACAGCTGCTGTGTGTGAAATTGCAAGACAACTGGAGATGTTCACAGCTGCCAGGTGCTGAAATCCACAGTAGGACAAGGGATTAAGGTCACAAAACACACATTCTTCTTTGTTACATCTATGCTACCCCATTGCAGTTTGAAATTATAGGGATGTAACTGAATAGAACTGTCATTGGTCATCCTTAGTTTTATAGCATTCCTTTTCCAGCTCCAACACACCAAAGTGAGTAAATTACAGTTTAGAGCTACCTTTTTAATATGTAAAAAGGCTTATTTTTAGTTACTTTTTAAGGAGAAACTGTTACATTGTGTTTCAAGCAATTTAATGCTTAGATAGTACAGGCAGCCCCCGGGTTACGTACAAGATAGGGACTGTAGGTTTGTTCTTAAGTTGAATTTGTATGTAAGTCGGAACTGGTACATATTGTAGGGGAAACTCTAGCCAAACATTTCTCCAGAGCTCAGTTTTATTCTCCCACACCTCACTTTCCTCAGTCCTTTATTCTCAAGCTGAGGTGTCTGCTGAGAAAAGCCGCTCTGCGTCTCCCTGGTCTGCTGGGGGGGGGCGCTAGCTTCGTGTCTCCTTGGTCTGCTGGGGGAAAGCAGCTAGTGCGGGGTTGCCTCACCCCGTTTGTAAGTAGGGATCCAATGTAAGTCGGATCCATGTAACCCGGGGACTGCCTGTAGTTCACTTTCAGTTGTTTTTGAAAGTCTTGATGTTTATGCCATACAAATAGCTGACTGTAAACCATTGCCTTTGAAAAAAAATTCTTCAGTTTCTTGCGCTGTGTATCACATTAATAAGTATTTTATCACAAATGTGTATTGGTCAGTTTGGGAGAAATTGAGGGGAGGGAAAACTCTTGAGCTTTGGTTTATTTTGTCTGGTGGAAGTTACATTTTATTAGTCTGCAATCGTCAGTCCCTGGAATTATCTGGACTCTCATCAGTGAATGCAGAATGCATTTGAAGATTTTTTTTTTTTAACACAGATCCCGTTAAGACACAATTCAGATTACTGCTAGGACAGAAACTGTCCAGCCTTGTCTGAGGTTACAGCCTTCATGTTGATATACTGCAATGTGATCTGATAGATTGAGGCAAGCAACACCTGTGGCTTTCTATTAGCTGATCTTGTTCATTTTGGAGGAGTTGTTGCTGGCAGCCATAATCTCTATGGTTTAAGACCAGGCAAAATCACAGCAGCACCGGACTGTGGGGCAAAGTTTTCTAGACTGTCTTCCAGGATGGTCGTAGTGTGAGGGCTTTCGAAAGGTTATTGCATGTGACTTATTGGGAGGACTGATGGTGGTTTGTACAGTGTATCAACTCCACTGGGCTGTCCCTAAAGAAAGGAGATCAATTGGTGTGCCTACGACCGGTTTAACCAAGTTAAAATGAAGAAAAAAGCAAAAAAGCTGTCTGCTAAAAGCTGTAACTTGGAAGTGAATTTTTAATAATTTGCAAAAGGAGTTTTCAAAATTTGGAGTAAGTGGCCTCTTCCTACAAAGCAGCTGTTCAGCTGGACAAATCTGTTATCCAATGAAAGCAATCTGCAGGTGTTGGGCAGTTTTGCTGCTTTCTTGGGATGATTAGTATTCAACTGCTGGAAGGAATATTTAGGCAGGGGACACAGAAGTCTGGGGAGCAAACACGTTCCTAAATGGATTGCCTTGCCCTGTAGTAAGGCTGTGACCTGATGAGCTCTGTTTTCCAAGCTAGGTTTGCCTTTGCCTTCATGCTCTTCTTTCCTTTCCTGAAACTCAATGTTTCTGCTCATAGTACAGGTCGGAGAGAACATATGCTTATTAATAGGCAGGATTTTGACTGTCATGCTGCTTTTGATTTCTCTTTTTCATTGCAGGTGTATAAACTGAGCTTTTTCATGTTGCAGATTTGGCCTCCATGTTATGACCCTTCTTCATTCAGTGATTCTGTTCATGTTGAAGAAAGATAAAATGGGACTGTGGCCTGGTCTATGCAAGAGTAGGTCAGTGTTAAGTGCCTTATTTCAACCTAACTCTGTGACTACATAGTCTGAAGCTTAGTTCCAACCAATGTAACTTGCCCACTATACAGATTTAACTTCATCTCCATGAGAGACTTACTGTTTAGGATGCTGGAGTTAGGCTGACACAGGTTCTGCACAGACACTAGGTTAATTACATTGACTGTTGCTGCCCTTCATGGCTTCATCTTGCAATAGCCCAGTTGACCAGTAAAGTGGTGCAGGATCTCCTGCTGAGGACATGCATCACTGACGAAAGGATCTTATTATGGGCATGGAAAAGTGATTTAATTACTGGAATGTTACAGATGACACGTTGACATAAATTAATAATGTTGACTTGCGCTGTTCAAGAAACCAACATGATCTATGTTACAATAGTTTGAATAAGAAGGATGATATATTCTAACAACTGCATTTTTAAACTACTTTTTTTAATGTTGCAGACTGTGGTAGCTGCACTGAATGAAACTTTTTTCTTGTTATGGAAAGGTAAACTGACTTTCCCAATGCTATAATCTTTTGAACATCTTTCTTAACTACAAATTCCAGCAGCAAAAATTATGGAATACGTGTTTCCTTTTATCCTGTTTCACTCATATGGATCTGTGCCTTGATCCACAAACTGGAAGTACTGCTTAACCACTGAAATATGTAGTGGTTGATGGGAATATTTGTCATTTAAAATAAGAATACAAAAGCTCTGGTACAGGTACATCCACTCTCATTATGGTAACTGACAGACTGACCTGACTTTAACAACCTTGCTCATTACTAAAATTAATTTTACCTAGTTGTTGCTTAATGTGCTGCAAGGATGTTGATATCAGCACATGACCTTTTGTATCATAATACAATGTGGAGACAGAGCTGAGCAAGTTGAGATATAAAAAAATAGGTCATGAGCTTTCATGGGTAAAACCCACTTCATCAGATGAGTTGGGGTGGAAATTACAGAATCCAGAATGTATATAACAGCAAAAGCAGTTATCTATCAATTATAGGGCCAGTGTTAATGAAGCTAATCCTAAATCAGGCTGGATGTGTCCCCTTCATAGCATTTGATGTGGAAATACGAATATCCAAGATGGGGAAAATTGCCTTTGTTAACCAGTTAATATCTTTCTTCAAGACCACGTTGATAGTGTCAAATTTGTAAATGAATTCGAGTTCAGCTGTCTCCCTCTCTAATTGGAAGATAAAATGCTGTTGTAGCTACTTTTAAATCCTATATTGAATGTCTAGGGAGGTTAAAATGTTCCCCTCCAGGTTTGTGTTAAGGATGTTAAGTAACAGTTAATTTACTGGTCAAGTAGTCGCCTGACGCAGTGTTTCAAAGGGGCAGTGCTCACAGCTTTGCATCCATTAATCCTTTGGTGCAGAGACTGTCCGGTTTGGCCAAATATATACATGGCAGAGGGGCATTGCTGGCACTTGATATCACATAATGGATGTAGAGTTACATGAACCCCTTATGTTGTTGTGGCTTACATGGTTAAGTCCTGTGATGGTATCACTTGTATAGATACGTGGACAGAATTGGCAATGGGGTTTGTTGCAGGGGTAGGTACCTGGGTGAATGTGTCTGAGGTGTGGTGTGTGACTGTTGGTGAGTATTTGATTCAGGTTGGGTGGGCGAGTGGCCATCTGTAGGCAAGGATTGGCCTGTCTACCAAGGTCTGTGAGAGAGAGGGATTGTTTTCCAGGGTAGGTTGTAGATTTTCAATGGTGCACTGGAGGGTTTTAAGTTGGTGGCTGTTGGTGATGACCAGTGGTGTTCTGTTATTTTCCTTGTTGGGCATTTATTGAAGTAGGTGACATCTGAGTACTTGTCTGGCTCTATCAATCTGTTTCCTCACTTCCCCAACTTGGCGTGCTGGATCCGTTCCTGAGGCCTGATTTTTGCCTACCCCTGCTCTGTAGATTTTCCTAGGGCTCCACCTCCTTTTGGGTGCATACTGGAAAATTGTCATAGATACCAGCAATCATGTTTACAACTGTCCATATATGCCACGATTTGAGTAAGTGCTTGTCTAAACATGGAAATTAATTTGGAATAATGTAGGGTATTACCGTAAAACTCCATGTGTGAAAAGCTCCTATTTTGGCCTAAGAGTGCATTATTCTAAACTAATTTTAACCCAGCTAAGAAGTGGATTATTTTAATTCAGAATAAGGTGCTCTTCTTATGGAGTAAGTTTCAGAATAAATCATTTTTCTTTGAGTGATAACTCATGTCCCTTCAGCGCAGGTGTGTGTGCTTGCCACATGCACCAGTGTTGAAAGATTTTCCCTCAGCATAGGGGGCCAAGTCTACTGCGACCCCTGGAGTGGCAGGTACACGCCATGCTATATAGGGCACTCCTGGGCCTCTCCCTCCCAGTTCCTTCTTGCAGCCAGTAACGATACAGCTATTTATGTACCGTGCCTTTGTAAATTCCCTCCTTTTTCAATTATAAGTAAGTTTGTAATAGTTGTTAGTCCCCCCGCTGGGACTCAGCCCAGGTTTTAACACTGTGTTAGCTGTCGCAGGCCTATGCCTGTTAGCGACCCTCACAACTGCCTCAACTACTGGGGGGGGGGGGGTGTCATATCAGCATGAAGTGCCACATATGGAGGTTCTTCCATCCCAGGATCTTGACAGACAGAGGTACGAGGCTGAAGGCAGTGCTGATGGAGTTGGCTTTGGCTCCCCAAGACCAACAGTCAGACTCGGCAGCAAGTGGGCGGTGCCACCGTGTGTAGTGCGCCCTGGTGTTGGGGATATCTCTGCACTGAGAGTCATCGCTAGTCCTGACAAAGCAAGCTAGGGAGCTGGGCAAAGACAAGTTCTGCAGCCTGCACAAAAGAAGGCCCAAGCCAGCATCCGATAAGGACAAAGCACCAGACCGAGGCTCCCCAGCCAGAGTGGGTTGACCCTCAGGGCTCCCCACCACCGTCTCTGAGGCATTTCCGGCGGTGCAGGATGTTATTGCCGTGCTGGTTTTCCTGATGCTGCCAGTGCCAGGGCCCCAGCACAGGGGGAATCCTTCAGCGGGGCCGCAGTCACTGGGCACATGATGCGCTCATGCGGTAGCGAGATCGCTCAGAAGAGTACCCCATAGCCCTGCATATTCTGTCAGGGAGAGACAAGGCAGCGGGGGGCAGGGCAAGCGGGAGCTGGCTCTTCACTAGCACCAGCCCCTGTGGAGCCTCTTGGCCCCCATGCTGCTGCTTCTGTGGGAGGCAGCAGCGTGGGGGAAGGCAGGCAGCTCCACGGAGCCAGAGCATACCCAGAAAGCCAACTTTCAAGCTGGCTCCCCACGTGTATTGGCTCCTGCTGGGTTCTTCCCACTCCCCCTCCCCCCGCCGCGCTGCTGCCTCCCATAGAGGCAGGCCGGGG